CTCCCCCTCCCTAAAGATTGTAGAACATCAATCAGAGAGTTCAAAAAGTACCAACAATTTAAAATTGGACCAATTTTTGAAATTCGTTGGAAAAAATGGGCATTTTTTGATGGCTTGTAAAAATTTTTCTATTGGACCGATTTTGTTTGCTTTTTTTATCGACGCATAATTTTGTTTTCTTTACTTTACTAAAGAAGTGTTATTCATAAAATATGGACCGTTTTCGAAACGAACAACTAAAAAATGCAAAAAATTTTGAGGTTTTTTGGCTGCCAAAAGTTGTGCCGGGAAAAAATTGGTGCGTACTCTGCAAATACATGTTATTTGGGCCCAAATGGACCATTTAAAACAATAAAATCTTTTACACCACATTTTGCAGGTCAAAATTATCTGCATACTGGAGTCTGGACTTCTAAGAGTAAGTCTTCGTAAAAATTATCTATTTCGAGAAATGCGACCAAAAGCAAAAGATGCACATGCCCTTTGCTTTCCATAAAGTTGCGTCCAATAGATAACAAATGACACACAGGCATTTTTTCACTTATTAGCCGAACATAAACATAGGAAACGTCGTGGTATGTTATACAGTGAATTTTTTTACATGCGAACATAGGAGTTTGTATGCAATGTAATTTCCCTATGTTCGATTTTTAAAAAAACACATCAATCTATTGAGTAGCTCAAATGGGTAGTAGATACAATTGACCACCGTCCAATTTAATTACGAAATCGGTTAGGTTTTTGCTTAGAATGTCAAGGAGGACACTTATTGTAATTGTTTTCGTTATTTATTTTCTTATTTTCCTCATTTATGTATTGAATAAATCAAATTAGTAGAATACCAGGTGCACATGACCTAGAAATAATTGAAGGTTGGTTCACAATGAGTTGTGGTGTCAGTGCGTGGCGTGTGACTTGTGAGGTCAAGTTACCGTAAGTTTAAGAAAAAATGTATCCTAAAGTTGCTATGGCCTCATATCGCTTCTTTAAAAACATCTTACCGAGTGCTCTTCATCATACAGACTATGAGTTGCTGTTCATAGTCACAAAAGTTGGGCGTTTTGGGAATGTGAACCGCGCACACCTCATAGATTTGTGTGTTTTTTTTTAAATCGAACATAGGGAAATTACATTGCATGCAAACTCCTATGTTCACATTTAAAAAAAAACTCACTGTATAAAAGAAACGCTTCCGATATAAATACAATTCCCCTTTTTAGTTAAATTCCTAAGCGGGATACGATACTTAACTAATGGCCGACACTGACAATTTTAGTTAAAACAAAGTGTCACTGTTTTGCTCATTTAAAGTCAAGTTAGTGAAGTGGTGGATATAAAAAAATTCTTGCACTTTTAAAAAAATTCGACTATTTATCTTTCCGTTTGAGAATACCTTTTGATGGAGTCCCACAAACTTCACATCAACTTGGCGAATTTTTTTCAAATTTCCAATACGATGTAGCGACAGAAAACGGCAAATTTTTTACTACTATCTACTTCTTTTTTCAATAGGGACTGATATCAACTTTATCAACAGGAATTTGTCTCTCAAAAAATAGGAGGATCAAGTAAATTTTATTTTTACCATTGAATTCAGGGCAAAAAAGTGAAGTCATGTTACAGCACAAAAGATGTTCGGAAAAATTCTCCATGGGTCGTGCATAGATATAATAAGTAATACGCTAAATGTACAATTGTTATTAATTTTTGAAAAGATAAGGATTTATTTAGAATCAGTATAAATGTTATACTTTTAATCATTGTAACAGAATTTTAAATGTTAGCTACCATTTTTATGAAAAACATACAATTTTTGTTGTTGTTCACCCTTGTATATAAGTAAAGAAAGATTTATTTTAGGTGTTCGAAGTGCCGGTTTTTTTAGGATCTACCATACCTAAGTGAATTCATTCATCCACATGTACCTAATAACTATAAAAATCTATAAATCAGTAAAAATGATTAGAACAAATCAAAAGAAATAAAGGGGTATTTAAAAAATGTTATAACAAACAATGCTATTCTATTAATTACTAATTACCTGAAAACCAGGTAATTTACAGAAGGTGTCATTA